TCGTTAGCAAAAAAGCCCCGCCCGCCTACTCCTTATCTGCCTCAGGTACTAGCCTTCGATTGGCCTCAGCCTCAACGCTACTGCAGCCTTTGCAGTTTCACAAATCCGACGGTTTAGCCCTCAGCAGGCTCCGACGTCTTTGCCTCAGTCTGGCCTAGCCGCTAACAGATTCTGCCTAAGCATCTGGAGCCTCGGCAGACTTGAAAACAAGGGGTCGCGCTTTTCTTCAGGCTCAGCCTCGATCGCATTGATCGGACCTGCCGTCGAATAGCCTTGGCCTCAGCCTTCCGAGACACGGACTTGGCCTCCGCATCTGCAGCCTCTGCAGCTTTGCAAACAGGGGGTCTCGCTTTCCTTCAGGCTCGGACTCGACCGCCTCGGTCGTACCTAGCTCTTGAATAGCCTTGGCCTCAGCCTACTGAGACCTTCTCCCGCCTAGCCACAAAGTTGGCAACACAGAGACCTGCCTCGGGTCCCCGCATAGCCCAGGCCTTCGACTACGTCCACTTCTGAGCTTATGTCTCACACCAGCTGTTTCACTTGCCTTAGCCTCGCCAGCCTCTGGGAGGCGGACTAGTGGCACACGCCCAGCGCCACGCTCGGGCCGCATACCTAACATAGCTCTTACGAGCCCAGGTAGTGGCCTACAGTACGTGTCACTTCTTTTCACAAAGTCTAGCCCAAGGGGGTTTCTTTTGCAGGCCTCGGCTAGCTTAGGCCGGGCCTCCCCTCTGGGGCTAGCCTCGAGCCTCTACAGATGCAACACGGAAAACGAGTGCCAGGTCATGTGTTAGAGCAGTGCAAGCCTATCTGAACTTGGGTGTTCAAGTGGAGTTTACACCACGCAACATGTTTGCCGGTAAGAGGAGTCCGCAGCTGTTGAAAGCCGATTTAAAGCCGGAGATTCGATCTTCGACCGGAGTTCCCAGTTCAGCTGGAATGACAAGCGATGCGGTCACCGTAAGCCCGTGTCGTAAAGCAAGCGGTATAACAAGTGTACCACCAGAATGCAAAGAAATGTAAGCAACCGAACAACGTGCTCGCTTGGAAGGCTCAAGCTAGGCTCAAAATACGGCTCAAACGATCGAAACAGCCATATGTTGGGCTGCACCGTTCCGATGCAGGCACATGGATGGATTAATGGATTGCCCGATTCCCACTTGAATTCATTTTTGGGAATGTTTTTTCGTCTTTTGCTGCTGCATATAACGTTGCCGTTGTGCAGTATGATCATCTCCTGGCAATTAAATTGCCTGCCCAAGCTGGTCTGAGATTGCAGCTGAAATTGCCGAAGTATTAAGGTCAGGCATTCCCTTCCGTTTGAAAATGAAAGCACCACCATCAACGAAGTCACCGGTAGCGATGGCCAGCAACCGTGGCATCCAAAAGCACATGGTGAGTTTCCCGAATCACATTCAATACAGTCCACCTAACCAGCTGCTGCGAGCCTAGGGATGGGGTGAACTGCACATGTGAGCAGCAAGAGAATAAGAAGGGTTTGTGTATCACGAGAATCACAGATTCCCGTACTGCGCTCGTGTTCACGGTTGTCTGATCTGAAGTTTGCTCTGGTTCAAGAGTGTGCGTCCGGGCTTCTTTTCTGTTGCCATCAAACTGTACTTAACATGGGTGCATCGGAAAGTTCTGCGCCACCAGATCATGCGTCTAGGCTGCAGCTGAGCGTCAGATGCTGTTGCATGCTGCCCTTCGCTGCCGCATTTCGAGCGCAGCACGTGTGAGCGATGTACCGGTCTTTCGAGGCAACGGTGGACAGAGTCGTCAAGATGGCAACGAAGGATGCAGTGGAGGTAACCGGTGCAGTTGGTCGTATGAGCTGCAACAGAAAACAAGAACAGCACCAGTGCACTTGTCTATTAACACAACGCGAGCAAGGTTCGATTTTCGGAGTGCTCTGTGCTTTGAAGTCTGTGGCCCTGTCAGAAAGCCACCGTCAATCAGCTTTGGGACAAATGGGAGAAGGATGCAGAATCCAAAGGGGAAGCATTGCCTGACTATGCTCCTCGGCTTATCAATCACACCATCGGCCTAGCAGCCTTCTGCCTTGCAGTTTGTAAAGCCGTCGGGCAATCGGAGCCTGCAAGGCATAATTCTCAAGTCGGCAGTGCAAGTAGCGCCGCTGGAGCCTGATCTGAGGTTCCTCTGTGGTGGCCATGGACTCGATTCTGGTATGGGCGAACACGGCCTCCACGCTGGGTCGAGCCGCTTTTAAGGAAGTTCCAGTCATGTATTCTTGTCTAGGTAGCATATCAAGTTGGTAGCACCTCGAGTCCCGTCGCGAGCAATTTGTAGTCCGCGACCGAGGGGTGCGACAATCGTCCACGAGGATGAATCAGGCTTCTTGGACTCAAAGACGATATCACTGTGCAGCACTCTCGGAATGACAGGCAGATGGAACCTCTGATATCTGACTGGGATCCTGCAAGCAGGCCAGCTGTGGGAGACGCACGTGGACGTCAGGCTCCACGAAGGACGCCGGAGTGACTTGGGGGCAAGAGAAAACAAGAGGCTTTTCAGAAACCACTGGATGTCTCTGCGGTTGAAGGGATTGCTATGGGAAACCTGCAGGTTTCGTCCACAACTGGACACGGAAGAAGGTGAGATCTGTTTGCTGAGGAGCCAGTAGTCGATTCTGCGTGCTGAAGGCAGCGGAATCACTTGGCGGCAAGCCTCCAGGTGTTCCGTCTACAGCTGTTTGGCGGCACCTGAGATGTGTAGAGAGAAGGCTTGCTGGCAAGATTTGACGGGAGAGTCCCACTAAGCGGTCCAGTCTCTGTGTGGTTAGCATTTAGATGACAAGAGCATGGTGCAGTAAGAACAGGTCTGCTCACTTCCTCCTGGCCGCAGTGTCAGAATGACAGCGGCTGCTTTGTTCATAGAGCCTCCGAGATCTTCAAGGGTTGGAGCCCCCGGGGGCGTAGGCCTAGGCGAGGTACAACAGTACAGCATCCAAAAATGTCTTAAAGGCTCCTCCCCTGTCCTCGGCAGAGCGAGCCTGGTCTGATGTTGTCAGGCCTGCAGCTTTGTGGTTTGCTGCAAACGCAGCTGTTTCTTGCAAAGACTGAGCAAGCTCCGCAAAGATGAAAGATGCGCCCCAAGACTGCTGGAATTCATCGGCTGTGATGGCATCGGAGTTCCGAGTTTCCCTGCAGCCGTGCTCGAGTCTGTCAGTGGCCCCGTACAGTACAAGCGGCTCTGCTTTGTCGATCCGATGGGCGGCCTGGTCTCCTCACAGCCCGCCGCTTGGCCTTCAAGGCCCAGGCTACAAGCTCTCGCTTTGCTCGCTTGGTGCTCCGCATTTCGTCTGAAGCCGAGGAGTACGAGAACGTGGATGCAGATGTCGCACACCAGCTCGGCACCTTCGTGACGAAGTCTTTCAAGGACCTAAGTAGGCTCCAAGACGTTGAAAGGAGGCTGCTCTGTTTCCACAAGCTCATTTCTCGCAGGAGTCCCAAGATCGTTCCTCCTGTTTGTCCTGCAGCACGAGGCCGAAGAGCTACATCAAGAGGCTCAGTAGCAAAGATGGGGAGCGGGGAGCGGAGTGGAGCTCCCGTCGGAGAACCTCTTGTCAGTGTGCAGCTTCAGCCTTTCTTCGACTTTCAGCCGGAAGAAAATTGAGGAGTCTGACAGTCTACGAGAGGGACCCGAGCGACCGCAGATATCGGATGACCGTGGATTTGGACCACGATCGAGACTCAAGTCAACTTGCTCAGATTCAGCGTCTCCCCTCGGCTTGATCCACCCTTAGGCTGCCCTCAGTACTCCATGCTGGTGGCAGGTTTCACGTGAGGTTCGCGAGTTTCTAGTGAAGTCGCTCATTTCAGCTGGTTCTCGGGTCATGGCTTCCATGATCAGAACACGGGGCCTCAGGGGGTGTCGAAATGTAATCTGAGGGCTTGGAACTTGAAATCCTCAGGCTCGTAGTGCATCTTCGAAGTTCAGTTGGAGTACGGTCCTACCAGCGTGGTGTCTACGGAGCGAATCTTCACGCTCATTTGCTTGTCACTTTTACGGGATGCTGTGCTTCACGATGCCTGGGACTGTACAAGGCAGTAACCTAACGAAGTTGCTCGACTTTTGATGGTTGAACGATGATTAGCTGCGAGAGTCTTCTGTTCAACAGACAGACGAGGCTACAGCCATGTGTGGTACAACAAGGAGAAGCAATGGTGTGGCTGCGTATGGTGCTGAAATGTGCTGAACATGAGTCTACAGCTCAGTCATGGACAGTCAAAGTATCTTTCAGTCTTGGCTTTGGTAGATGCACATGCATGCCCGCCTGGCAGGTGCTGACAAAGCGAACGCTTCTGAAGCCTCCTCATGTCAATTTCACAGAGACTCGATTCCTGTGCCTCGCTCCCATGTCTTCATCGAGGGGCAAAAATTCGCCGAATTCCATGAACCTGACGTTGTCAGTGTCGGGAACTCCGCTGGTTTGCTAGGCAGCAGATTGATGGCATAGCCATAGATCTAGAGCTGTCTGATTTTGTCTGCGTAGTCAGTGCTTATTCATGGGTTTACCGTATTTGGGAGTGCATGTGCAGTGGAGCTCGAGACTACGCAGATACCCCTCTCTAGTCACCACCAAACACAGAAGTGTGCTTGGAGCCTTTCTTGGTCAGCGGAAAGGTTGACCTCGACCTGGGAAATCTGCTTCGCTGTACTCGCGCCAGCACAGGTCATGGCGTCTTTCTCATCTGCTTCGGAGGCCAATCCACTTCTCTGCAGCTCTTACGGGTCGAAGCTGCTGAAGGCTATGAAGGCACAAAAACTTGCAGTCGACGGCACGAATCGGCAGCTCAAGCACACGCGCCGAGAAGTTAGAGCAAGCTCAAGCCTAGCTTTCGTGAAGCCTCATGACGAGCGGCGTTACGGCGGAGTCGTGCCGACTTCAATGGGCGAAGGCGGCAGATTTGAGACGTGGCGGCGTAGCGGCTCAGCAGCTCCGCCCCTCACAGCCGAGGCTCGTGGCCATCCTCTCCTGGATGCGACGAGGCCGGGCATGCCGCCATGCCAGGCTCAGTCCTCTGCCGTGCCTCAGCCGCGCCGTGCTTGGCTTGAGGCACAGCCTGGCGGTGTCTCTGAGTGGTGGAGTCCTTGAGCTTGTCGACGTTGCCTTGTGGGAGGACGGAAGTTCGCGCTGACTGTTTTAGTTGGTATGCAGGGTGTGTTACTCGCCTGGTGACAGGCCTCCGATGAGGACTCTGTTCCTTTGGAGTCGCTTGGCCAGACTCGGAGCACGTTGGCTTTGCGCCTCCTGGATCTCACGCTTGCAAGCATGCATTGCAAGCATGCACCGTTCCGGCCAGGTGCAAAGCATTTGGGCCCCGGCTTGCTTCGCTTGCTTCGCTTAGGTTTCTGTTCACTGGCGTACCCAGTGACGTGGACGAGGAAAAGCTAGCCTTGGCGCTGACCGAAAAGCTGCAAGAGCGGCTGCAGGCCCTCTCAACGTGAAGCAGCCAAGTGTGTCCAAGAAACACTGTGGCGCAGCAACGGCTTTGTGATAGGAGGAGCGCAGGGCGGAGTTTCGATCACAGCTGAAGAAGCGTGCCGGCCTCGATTTCTCTCCGTGTGGGCGAGGCGGGCAGGGAGTTTTCGGTTTGCGGCAGGTCAGGAGTCCTCCCTGCGGCGGCGCAAGGCAGGCCCTGAAGAAGGCGGAGATGGCGCCGAGGCTGCTCCGAAACCCCGGGGCTTTTCTGGCCTTCTCTGGGGGATTTTTTTGTGCTGGCTCTCTGCTGCGCTGCGCTCTGCGCTCTGCGCCGCAGGAACAGTGGAGAAGCTACCTGCGGAAGCCCGCTCCAGAAGTGAAGCTCAAAGTGCAGAGCGTGCCTCGGTAGCAAAGACGGCGCAAAGATTGGCAAAGGCTACAGCCGGTGCGTAGATGTGGCATGAGGCGCGGCACAGGCAACAGTTGAGAAAGATCGAGAGATCAAGCAGAAGCCCTGAGTTCATTGACGTCCGCTGGCCACCCCTGTCCGAGTGATCGGCATCATCCGGCTTTTCGTTTGCGACAACATGGAAGAATCGGTTATCCTGTCATGGTCTTGCCCTTCCTGTCTCTGATGTTTCTGAGTGGTGTCGCTGCTTAAGCACCTAAATCTAAAACCCTGGAGAGACCCGGACTGTGCTGAGATCGGGGAGAGAGAGGAACCAGAGCCGAAAGAGCTTTGTGCCAGGGGCCAGGATATGTGGAAGAGTGCGGCTCCTTCCCTTCATGCCCCGTGGAAGAATGAGAAAGCAAAAGAGATAGTAGAGACCAGCACATGCTCCGCACCGCGGCCTCTATCTTGCCCAGATATGCCCAGGTACATGTTGTGCCGTCCGTCGGTGTAGGCTGTCGTGCAATTTAGGCGTGTTGCTGCCAAGTCTCAAGGGGCACGAGTGCACTGATTTCTGGGTGGTGGTTGGCCTGTCGTGCATTCACGGCAGTGTGGCGGTGAGTTTTTGCTTTGCGAAGCCAGTGGCTCTGGGACAGTTGCAGGAAGTATGTCCTTTCAAGCCGGGACAGAGATGACTACAGTACTGCATGCGCAGCCATGCGGGGTCTCTAGTTCTTGTACGGGTGAACTGTGTTTTCTGTTTCTGCGCTACTGGTACAATGTGCATGCGCGTTTGTGTGCTGTGAAGGCAGCTATTTAACTATTTCAAGGGTTCTGTTCGAGATTTGAGGCAGGGGCATGCATTCAGGTAGGAAGGAGGTTTGAGTCTAAGTCTAAGTCTCTAAGTTCTATATGAGCTTCGCGCGGTTGGCCGACACAGAAGAGAAAGCAGAGTCTTCCGCCCAAGGTGTTCGATGCTGGTACGCGTGTCCGGAAAGTCTTGGGGTGCCGCGTTCTGGTGTCCCCAGAGGCTGGACACGTAAATTTGTTCACGATTCATGCGGTTTTTGCTTCGCTAGACTCAGGCTGCGGATGATCTGGGAAAGATTTGCTTTCGCCACATCTTCGAGTCCGAGGAAGAGGATGCTACTACAACTCCGACGTGTCACCACGGCCCAAGTCAATCCAAGTCCTAGGTCGTCTTGTCCTGCTCAGCAGGAGAAGGAGAGGCTACGGCAACTCCAGTGGTACGAGGATTCCAGCCGATTCTCCACACAGTCCAATCCCTTCAGTGTTCCTTTGCAGGATCCTTTTCTCGTGTGCTTCTACAGCTGCTCCTGTGCGATGGCCTTGGAATCTCGTTTGCTGGTGTCAATCTCTTCAAGTAGGGTCTGTCTTGGAGGTGCTTGTGGTGGTGATGCTGCTTTGGCTCGCGATGCTGTTGCCCGCGATTCTACGGCAAAGCTAGTTGCGGAAGATGCCCGACAGCGAAAGACGCGAGGACGTGGCATTGAGCATTTGTGCGAGCTTAGCCGTGTGTCAGCATAAACGTGGCTGCCGCGACCGCCGCCGGCACACAGTGCTGCACAGTTTTTCCTTAATCCGGTAAGTTCCCGCCAAGTGGGTGAAGACGACGCTTGGTTTCTGTTTCGGCTCAACACGTGCCGAGCTTTGTCGATAGCATCGCCTCAGAAGTCCCACCTTCGAGCTTCCAACAAAATTCCCAGTGACTTGTGACTTGATGCAGTGGCTTTTGCCCTTGTTCGCGCACAGTTTCTCCGCGTTTCTGTGTCAGGCGATGTGCAGTTGACATTTCGTCTCGGAGAGGAAAGTGAGTCTCGAATTGTGATTGCAATGTCCGATGGCAGCATCATGCACTTTCACTCTAGTAGCATCGTAGATTCGTAGATGCCTGCCAGTAAGTTCCCTTGAAGCCTGCAAGAAAGCGTAGTAGCCATGTGGAGTGTGCTTCTTGTCGCCTTGGCCTCTCGGCAGTTTGCAGCAACTTGTGGGAAGGGAGGGGACGTTCGTATGCTAAAGGTCTCGGAAAAAGGTGGTGCAATTTTCTGTGCTTTCGCCTTCAGACTTCACCATTCACGTGAACACATCCACTAGTCATCGCCAAAACCCATGAGAATGAGGCTTTGTCTTGCTCAACAGTTGCAGGCTCTCCATCCCGTGCACGGAGGTGAATGCCAGAGGCTGTCGTCGCTCCCACGGAGCTTGAGTGTTACTGTAGCTCTTCCTTTGCCAGGGGCCAAAGATCCTCGGGCCAAGAATGCAATGCGGGTCCGACGCTTTTGCAGCGCCTGGGTCGCAGCTGGGCCAAGCGTTGTGCACCGCAAGAGCTTGAAGCTGTGTGGCCAGGTACGGTTCTCGAGTCCGGCAGCCTGATGTTCTCGCGCGCGGAGCTCTGTCGTGCTACTGCGAAGATGCCTAGACAGCGAAGCGAAGACCGAGGACCGACGTCGAGGAGATGACATCTGAAGCCTGTGCACCTTTCGAGGACTCACCGACATTCGAAGGCGCGAAAGGCTGCCGCTGCCTTGCTGCCGGTTTCAGGAGTGGCCCAACGTCGATGATGGTGTTACATGCGGCGGCTGTCGTGCTCTGGTGGATACAGAGCCATACAGAGGCGGCCTTGCAGCTTCTCAGAAGCAGCTCTCACCTGCGGAGTGTGGAGGTCGTTGCGACGCCTACTGCGAAAGCTTCGGCCACAAGTGTGTGGCCGCGGCAGAGGAAAAGGCAGACACTTGCGAAGTTCTGGACAGGGCCCGTTCTGCACAGTCATGCTGTGCCTTCTGTTCGGGAAAGGGGGGGGTGGGGCGAGCCAGAGGATCAGCTGCCGCCAGCAACGAAAAGCAAGGTGCAAGACGAACACAGGTTGAGGCGGATTTTTGGCTATGGGTGTTGGATCCGGCAAAGCTCAGAACACTTGCTTGTTTGTTCCGATTTCAAAGCTTTGTTTCTTCTCGTTCTTTCTTTTGAGCGGCCGTCGGTCTGTACGAACCTTCTAAGACGCTTCTCGAAGAAGGTAACACCCAAAAGCACCGGCACTCTAAAGCAGACGAGAATCTCGGGGGCCGCAGGAAAGGCGCACTCATAGCAGAGGTCGGCACGAAATCGCATGCACTGCTCACTCAGGATCAGCGGCATGTTGGAACAAAACACGCACGAAGAAGAACTGACTCCAGCCAGCACCTGCGATTTTGGAAAGCACGTGAGCCACTGCTGCGCTTCCCATGGTCGTTGCAGGGTGCCTTGTGGCCGCCTTGCCGAGTTTGGGAGGAGCGCAAGCGATGTGACGAAGAGATTGCTGACACCTCTGACATGCTTTGCACTTGTGAGCGGGAGAGCGACGTCGAGGCCTTGGCAACTCTGAAGTAGCCCTGGTTCCATCTGCTCGCGGGCACTCCAAGGTGTGCTGGGACGGAGTTGGCGGTCTGGTCGTGGAGGAAGGAAATGAAGTCGGTAAGTTGGAGACAGCATCTCTGGAAGAGTGCGAGCGCGCTTCACCAAGTTTCAGTGTGCTTTGCCAGATTCGCGGTGCAAGTGGTGTGACAAGAACCGATCCGTTTGGTGTTTGCAGATCAGGCAGTTGCAATGGTAACGATGCCTGCAAGAGCGTCACCTTCTGCAAGCAGTGGGGGACTTGCTTCCTCAAGGCAGGAAGGATGTCTAGATAGAGGCGGTCAAGTTTTAACGTGGTCGCTGCAGGACAAGCGCCTTTCCGGGATGGAGGATGCTCAAAGCAACGATCACTGCGGCTCCTACTTCAAGAAGCGCTGCGGGAGCGCACCGATCTCTCGGCCTCCCTGGTCAGGCCTGGGGCCGGCGGAGAGAGAGAAGGGCAGGGGGCCGCCGCACCCGACTTCTCGGGCCTGTCGGACTGAGGCGGAGGCGGAGAGTCCCTGAAGGTCAGGGTCGTCTCCTACAACCTGTACTGGTGGAATGCTTTTGGCCAGAACCCATGGTCGCTGGCCGCAGATGGAGCGCACTGAGGTGCAGACAGCCCCCGCTTCACGGCTCGAATTGCTCAGGAAGAGCGACCACATCATTCGGAACATCAAGGACAAGCTGAAGCCCGATTCCATCGGCCTCCAGGCGATGTCCCAAGGGCCATGGCCGCGGAGAGCGTGTAGCCGCAAGATGCCGCAAGTGCAGCCTGCAGGAGTGCGATGAGCCTCACACCATCCGAGACAGGACAGGGCTGGAGCGAGCCTCGAAGTTCGATGGCGCCCAGGGCATCATGGTCAAGCCAGGCCTGCGCTCCCCGCCTGCGCTCCCTGCCTGCGCGGGTGCTGCGTCTGAGTCTGAGGCGCCTTCCGGAAAGGCGACGCGGGGTCACGAGACATCCAGGTGCCGGGCCGGGCGCCTTTCTTCGCGCTACATGCGGGACTGCGCCCCAGACAGGCCACCGGCAAATGGGGTCCCCGCTACGTGACCTGGGTGGAGTTGATCGACCCGAAGAGCGGTCGGACTTTCTGGCACTTCAACACTCACTGGTGCCTTTGGCTGCAGTTGGGACAGGCCCTGCGCGGGGTTTTTCTCCGTCTGGCAGCTCAGGTGTGTACACAACGGCAACGGCCGGGTTTGCAATGAAGAGGTTCGATATGGTGGCGCCAAGCACATGCTAGATGTTTGCCCCTCAGCTGTTGCAACGCTGGTAGGGTTTAATTGCAGAATGCGTTCGAAGTTGTAGCTAAGGTCATCAAGGAGAAGGCGGCGGCTAGACCGGCCTTGCCCGCTGATTTAGAATTGCTTGTCAGATGCCTGAAAGGCTTCCGACATGCCGGTGGTTATCACAGGGGACTTCAACGCGTGCCTCTGAGAAGCTGAGGGTAGCTCCGTCGGTCGCGCCCGCGTGCACACGCACACCTCCCCTTCACTCCAGAGGCAAATCTGGACGAAAGGGGACCTCAGCATTTCCTCAAGAACGGCTTTAAGCTGGCTCCCAAGCAGCAAGATGCACTAAGAACGGCGCTGGTCATGCAAGTCTGTTGCGCCGCAGCTGAAGGTCTTCAAACCACTTAATGGGGTGATTTCACGTCCGCACCCTCGCAACACCCCAATCTGCAGAGCGGTGCGGCACGAAATGGGCCATGCACCATGTTTCCGGAACCCTCTAGGCAGACTGCACTCAGCCGATTCCCAAGCCAACAGACGGGCGAGAAACGGGGGCAGGGGGGGAACAGTGATCATAAACAGGTCTACTCGGGCATGTCTCCTAGGCAAAGGCGTGGTTGTGGATGGCTTTGGCGTCGCATTACAGTGTTGTGTAGCGAGGCTGAAAATGCTTGGGTGGACTGCATCTTCTACTCGCACCACTGGGAATTGGCCCGGCATGGTACTGGAGACGCTGCGCACAGCGACCATCGTCCGATCTTTGCAGAATTGGTGCTCAAATGAGAGCCGCTCCTCGCTTGGCTGCCTTGAAGGCTCCTTTCGTCTGCTGCCTTGGCCAAGGCTCCAGGCATGCGCCTTCTTGGGATTTGTGCATGATAGCTAGTTCCGGTCCGCAGAGCTTGCGGTCTAAAGCCACAAGATGCTTTCTCTGCCAAAGCTCGAGCAGAGTCGACTTGCAATCTTTGTGCTCTGCCTTGCTTGGCTTTTTTGGTTGGACTGAACTGTTGCAGGGAAGTGCCCCCCACTGAAGTCTTTGTGAGGGGCACCCGCAGCCGGCTTTGTCAGTTGCAAAGGGCTTTATAGATATGCTGAAGATGCTTCTTTACTTGTTGCCCTATCGGCGGCCTTTATGCGGTCCTGCATGGTCCTACCGTGTCGCACCGGCAGCGACTGCAGAGCTGATGGCAGTTGCCCATTCGACTAGAACATAGAGCCAAACAAGCTCGTTCACTCGTCGGACCGCTGAGAGCAAGACAGAACTGCTGTTGCTGGATGTGCATGTGAGGTGCAGCATATCGCAGCATCAGCCTTCTCGAGTTTCTGGAATTTTGACATTGGCGGATAGCTGCCCGCGGCTCAAGGTAGGAGAGCAGACAACAACGACTTTGTCCACAGCGGCAGCAGCAACAGCAACCACATGGATGGGCTCGCACCTCGGGAACAGCAGCAGCACCCAGCAAGAAGGCCACCAATAATCGTAACTGCTCCAGCGCTGCCACCACCATCCCCACCACCCCCAAGACCCACCACCGACAACACCCGCAACAGCCAAGCACCATCTTGCAAGATGACTTATTACTTAATGTAACCACAAAGTAGCAGATCTCCGCCTCGGCATGCTTCGAAGCTGGAGCTTGAACTTTGTTTCGGCCTGAGCCTCAGCGCGAATCGGTCTTCTTGCGCTCTTGCGCTTCAGCAGCCTTCTTGTTCTCAGGCTTGGCTGGACTTCCTCCGAGGCTTCAGTTGGTTCGGGACTCAAAGCGGGCAAGGCCAAGGCGGCACAGCTCTTTCGTTGCTCCTATTGAGGCGACAAAAATGTGCCCGACTGGAGGCCATGCGTCTCTTATGTGTGCGGCAACCGCGCCGTCTCTCTCTCTCTCTCTCTCTCTCTCCCTCTCTCTGTAGCTCCTTCCTCCCTCAACTCCCTCCGTCGCTCTCCTGCGACTGACTTTGGCTGCCCGCAGCGCTGAAGGTTTTTAAGCTCTTAGGGGTGTTTTCGGCGCATCCTAGCTTGCCATGCCCAATACCAAAGTTGTCGACTTGGTGGACGAAGTGCTTCGGCCGCGTCGGGAGCACTTATTGGAGCAGGTGCGCGCCTGGGTCAACGACCTTGAGGCTGAGATCGAGTTGCGACTGCTGCATGCAGACTTTCACAAGGAGAACAAGGGCGCTGGCTCTGACGGAGGGGAAGGTTCCACAGACCTGGCACATGCCAAGACTTCCCACTCTCGCCGCATGTCACTCTCGCGCCCGGGCGTCGAGACAGCCAACGCAGGACACAGCTACATGTCGGCAAGTTACCAACATGCAAAGGCCAAAGGCTCTCGATTCCATTTTCACAGGAAGATCCGGTTCAAGAAGGAGTCCATCAACTTGAAACGCCAGCTCTCACAGCTGTCTTCCTTGAGGCAGATGGTCAGGTCTTTGGTAAGCCACCCCCTCTTTGACTTGTTCTTTGCCCTTGTCATCATTTCGAACGCCGTCTACCTGGGTATACGTGTTGAGAGCATGGACCCACGATTCCCACCAACGCAGGCCTCCACGCTACCTGTTCAGTTGACCTACGGCATTGTCTTCTCTCTGGAAGTCCTTCTTCGGTTGTTTGCTGCTGGACCTGCAGAATATGCTTGCGGTTCAGACTGGACATGGAATTGGCTGGATGTGGCCGTGGTTGTTTCATCGTGGGCGACCATCGTGATTGACTTCGTATTTCAAGGCGGCGATGCAGGCATAAGTTCCAGCATACGGATGGTTCGAATTATCCGAGCCTCCAGGCTTCTTCGGATCCTGCGCACGGTTTGGGTCATTCGATTTATCGGGGCTCTCAGGACCTTAGTGGCCTCATTGGTGGACACGTTGCGGTCACTGTTCTGGGCATTGCTCCTCCTCTTTCTTATCATCTACGTTTTTGGCAGCGATACCGCAATGAAGCAGCCTTTGCGATTTTGGATTTGCTGAGACGAGCGGCCAAGTCAGCTTTAACTTTAAGAACTTGTGGTGTGCCACTAAGGTATTTTGTTTACCGACATTGCTCTGGAGTACGTGCAGGAGAACTACCAGGCGAACGGTGAGATTGATCTCAATCTGATGAAATATTTTGGATCCCTATACAATTCTACCGCCACGCTCTTTCGGGCTATCTCCGGTGGTCTTGATTGGGACGATGCCGCAGAGAGCCTAAACCCTGCTGGATGGTTGTGGGTTCAAGCCTTTCACTTCTACGTGGCTTTCGTATCTCAGATAGCCAATGGGAGAACTTTAAACTTTTTGGCCTTATATATTAGACCCATCCTAAAAAGTTTGAACTTTTTTGGGCCTGGCTGTTGAAGAAGAGAGGTATCATTCGCGGTCTTGAACGCAGCTTACCTGCACCGATTCGCGAGATCAGGGATGTGCTCTCACGTCTAGACCTAGCTTGCGCAAGAGCGGGCCTGGGTCCTGGAAGAGCCCGTGCTGTGAAATTCTCACTGAAGTTTGTGCCCGACGTGTTTGCTGTGTACAACTTGCATGACAACGTGCTGTACAAACCCCTCAAAGCCAAAAGGTCGCTTTGTGGTATGGGTAGGAAGCCCATGCACCCACCGGCCAAGCCCCTATTACGCTGTCGCCGGCCTTCCCACTCGCGGTGACATGTAGGTGCTTCATGCCGACGTTAAGGCTTGGCGTGTTGCCTGGGCAAAGCATGCAGAACGGGCTCGAGGGTGCGGTGGCCATGCGCATGCGGCCTCTTTTCAGGGTTATCGCTCGAATAACGTTGTCCAACTCCGGATGCCTAGCACCTGCAGCTCTGATAGCGAACGGAAGGGCGATCATCATCTTCAATTGTTGTTCTTAACAAAGCTGAAACACACCGGTAGTGGGCTCGTCCTTGCTCGATGGTTGATACATCCAGGCGTCACGTTTCGAGAGCAGGACTTGAGTGGCTTGGGATTTATGGCACGCTGCCGGATGTCATTACGACTTGCATTGCTCAAATTGAGACTTTAACGTGATGTCTTGTTTCGATCTTCACACCGTTCGTTCGTTGACCTCCATTGCCAGTACACATGGTCAAACTGCGCGACCACAGCTGGCCTGATTGGTCCGTGAAGATGCGTGAAGGTCGGGCTGTTGAATTTTACATCCAAAACGAGAACCCTTCGGGACCCTTTTCTCCATCTCTTGGGCAAGGTGTGGTCTGACAATCCGATGCATTTTCCCAGCCCTTCGTTCTTCTGCTTTGACGTGTCAAGTCCTGTGCATATCCAACATCTTTGTCATTGATGGTGCATAACCACGTCGAAGCTGTTCTGAAGGGCTAGTGCACTGCAGCCGTGATCGATGAGCCAATGCAAGTGATTGCCAAGCTGAAACTGTCCGACAGAATCACATGTAGCCGTTGGGCATTCAACATGTTCTTGTTGCATCAACAGAAAAGCGTCGAGCATGTGCTTGCATCGTAATGTTTCCCCCGGCTTGCGAAGGTAATGACTGGAGCCTTGGTAAATCTTAGTACTGACCCTTCTTTGTTTATGTGTCGTTTATCATACTCCTTGGAATATCAATGGAGCCTAAGATTCAAGAGAGCTCTGTTTCGTTTCCTGGCCCTGATCGAGGCGTTTTCTGTAACTCCGCGATCAAATCAGCAGAGCGTGACATGAAGGCGAAGCTGGAAGATCGTCATGATTTCAGAGCATTAATGATGAGTATCTTCAAGCAGATCGATGCAAGTGGTGATGGCAAATTGACATTGACCGAGTTCGAAACACTGTTCGATTCTGAGGCCATGAAGGCTTTGATGGAGACAGCTGACATTAAAGCCGCTGATGCGTGGAGCTTATTCGCTAGCTTGGACCAAGATGGTGACAGCTTGGTGGATGTGAACGAGTTCATTGAGCGATGCTTGGAATTACATGGCCCAGCACGTGCTCTGGATTTGCACACCTTGACGCTGCAGACCATGAAGTTTGGAGAACAGTTGGCTGCAATAGAAAAAGCACAGCAGCAGCAACTGCGGTTTTCAACATTTCCAGCACAGAACAGGTCTGCACCCCAGGATGACACTATTTGCATGTAAGTACAGAGCTGCTCCAAAGGAACTGCTCTGGGAAGCCTTTTTTTATGTTGTAGTGAATTGTCGGCGAGAAAAGTCATGTGCTTGGGGCCCTTGTCACAGAAACTATTGAATTTAATCTGCCGGGTTTAAGCCTGAGTTTCGGCGCTTTCGCATCGTGTGCATTCGGATTTCCGAGGACGACCTGCAGGTGTTGCAGAAGGAGACTTGATCGTGTGTGCTGGCTGTGACAAAGACTGGTCCCGTTTGGATGCATGTTTCAGGAGAAGGCGTTGCTCACACAACAGCTGGAGGAACAAACGTCCATTGCAAAGCCACGCCTCAAGTTCAACTGTGTTGCGGTAGTAGTGAATTGAACGAGCCAAGCCTCAGGCGCTTGGAAGAAAGATGTGCTGAACTGGAGGTGGGACTGGACAGTGCGCGTAGTAGCAGGTCTTTGTTGCAGTCTTTGGCACTGTGATTCCATGGCGAGCGCATCACCTCGCAAATCTCTCGCAGCTGTGAGGATGATCTTCGTTACAACTGGGATTGGTGGCGTGCGAAGGCGTGGCCGCGTGTTTTTCAGACCCCTGTATTTGTGAGACCAGATGCTTGTCGAGCCATGTGAATGACGGCGAAACATCAACACCGACCCAAACACCAACATCAACACCATCGTCACCATCATCGGCACTATCACAACTGTCGTCTCATCATCAGCATCATCACCACCGTCACCGTCGTCACCCTCGTCATGCTCGTCGTCGTGACCATCGGCACCATTGCCACCATTGGCATCATCCACCACCATCAGCATCATCAACAATCACTATCAGCTCCGAGAGCTTTGAAAACAACACCATGGGAATTTGTGACGGGAGTCAATCAGAAGCATCGAAAATCCCTGGAAGCAAACTCTGCTTTCTGAACCTCGCCATGCTCGCTGAACTTGCCATGCGCACCGAAGAAGAATCGAGTGAGCTACAAGGCCGGTGGCGTAGGTGAGCTTGTCGCTGTCTACAGGAATGTTGTCGTTACTCATGTTAACTGTTAACTTGAAAAGTAGATGGCATGTATCACACACCACACACGCACGCTACGCGGCGCCAACTTAGGCAACCTTGCAACCTTGACAAAGAGCGGTGAGAAACATTGTGGACGGGCTCAACCATGCGCAGCCTTCCAGCCTTCACCCAAGTATTTTGGCTCGTGCTTGTGTGGCGCGAATGGTTCCTGTCGTAAGTCGAATAAAAGAGATGTAGGTTCTAAACGCATGCATAAGAAAGTGTCAACGAGCATTCAAGATGCGTAACCCTTTCTTTTCAGATCTGAGAAGCTGGAATCTGGACTTGCCAAGCCAGCTGACAAGCCCCGGAATTCTAAGCACACTGGTAGATCCAAGTGTGGCCAAGGCCAACACAGTATACTGAATCCCAAGCCTACACTGGAAACAAATAGAATCCGATGCGAGTGCCTCTGTACTGGCGTGGGTTGCCAGGTTTATGTCTGTTTTAGTGTTCGGGTGGATTTGACTGAACATGCCGACATTTCTTTTGTGGAATCTGAATTGATTCTTGGCAGTAGTAGCCGCAGTAAACTTACTTAGATGATACTACAGTGGTGAGGCGAGAAGTCACCTCAACCAACCTGTGGCATTCAGCAGGAATGGATACATCCGCTGAATTTGTCTGACTTCGGCCGGTCTCGAGTGCAGGAACGCCGGACTAAAGCTGCAAGCTGCCGAAGTAACATGTGTGGTCCTAAATCCCACCTTGCGATGAGAAGCGGAAATGATATGGCAAGTTGCGCATGCTTCTTTGGAGGCCATCCGTCTCTCGTCCCCTTTGACGAGATACACGGAACAGATCGCGAGACCGAATGCAGAAGCCTTCGAGTGGAAGTCGGCGTCTCAAGCTTTCACAGGCTGAGCGGTCACGGTCGGAGGCTTGCGCCCCTCTTCCGCGGTCCCAGGTGGTATCCGACATCGTGTCCCTGTTGCAGACGACCCCTGGACATAACAGTCTTCACTTCCGAGAAGCTGCTCGTCTGCGCTACGATGAGTAGCACTGTAGCATTCATGGCCAGGACTTCTCTGCATGGCAATCAGGGCAAGTCAAAACGCGCCACCCCTCAGAATCTGAAAACCCTACAGGAGTATACTCACGATTCGTGGATGATGACAGCAGTAGGCCTCCGGTCATCATCATCGTCCTCCGTCCCCCCACGTCCTTCATCGCCTGTCTTGCCGTCGTCGCCTTCAGTTCGGCGGCTCCCTTGCCTTCAACGAGGCCGGCTGCTCTGGCCGACGTGCCAGCGTTCAGTGCGGGGCCAAGCGCATCAAGAGTGCAGCAGACTCCAGCAGACTCGTGCTGATCTTCTCCCCTTCTTTTGGTCATCTTCTCATTGCCGGCCTTTTTTGATGACTGAAATACTACAGCCACTGCTGCTGGTTGCAAGTGCGGGGTTCCCAGTCTCATCCTGGCGCTGGCAACCCGAGGAGAGCCTCGACACGCTTATGTTTGCGTTGTCTGGGGTGCAAATTCTGGCTACGCCCTGGGGGCTGCAGTTCTGGGCGCGAGACTCAAGGCCTAACCGGAGAAAAGACACATCCCGCTTGTCTCCACATCTGCTGCTCGCAGGAACTGCAAGCAGAGCAAGGCCTGCTGTCCATATGCAACATCGGACCCGAAGTCCGATCGAGCTTGCACAAAGCTGACAGGTGACGCGGCTGACTTGATTCTGATGCACACCGATGCAGCTTGGATCAGTCTGGACTCCCGGTTTTCCGGTCTCGTGAGCTGATGCGCCACCAGGATGTGCCCTCGAACTATTTGGAGCAGCTTTCAAAGATCTGGAAGCTGCAAAGCATTGATTACATTGACGGCGTCCCCGCCCTGTACACCACGAAGGGCACGCGCTTCGACGGAGTTTTCACGAAGCTAAGTGTGGCTTGGCCGAACCGTTCGCTCCACTCCCCCCACTCAGGCCAAGTAAGCACTTGTCGTCTGAGTTTCCGCTAGCTTAGGCTTGGAAGCTCGTCGAGGGCTCAGGAGCAGCTCGTGAAAGACTCCTTTGCCTCGAGCCTCGCCTCGAGCCAAGGTCGAGTACGACAAGGCCCTGACCCTGAGCTATGCAGCGAGCTATGGCATAGTGCAGATCTTGACTGACTCGATCTCTCAGGTGATGCTCTTGGACATCGACACGCTGCCGGTGAAGTCCCTCCGTGGCCTCTTTGATCTGGAGCCCCCTGCAGCCCTCGCAGCTGGCCGGCGATTGGAGAAGCTGCTACATTATATAGTGCATTATAGTACACTATAGTATCTTATAGTATCTTATAGTA